GAATGTCAGTGAAATTACTACTCTAGGAAAGTTCAATGGTCAAGTTATGGAGCTGTAAATTTCCCTTTAATAGGCTCTATGATTTAGAGAGAAATAGTAAATAATCTGGAAGTTTACCTTTGGAGTTGGTGGCTTCTTCGCTTCTTTAGTTGACTGTGGCGGTGTTCCTTTTTGTTTTGGAATATCATATCTTTTCCCTGGTAAAAAAGACTTAATTGAAATAGTTGTGAATGCACTGTTGCAGTAACCAGTCTGTTATGAAATCGGTTCAAACTTACCGTTGTTGCCAAAGTTTAGCTTTTCATTAATATTATTATTATGTTTGTTCATCTTGATCTGCATCTTATTATCATAATTTCATGATTTTTACCATAACAGGCATTATAATTCGGTACTATACAACAATAATAACGTTAATGATCATTATTATCTTTATATCTTATTACGAGCGTGATGAACTTATATCATTAATACACTACCATGTGTGATTTATACCTACATATGTATGATCCCTTACCCAACTTCGCAGGATTTGCCGGACATGGAGTTTTTCTTTTAGACTTCTGGTGCTTGCTTGACGAGCGTTTGTGCTGCTGTGTTTGGTTATTCTTCCGTCTGGACTCTTTGGGATTCTGCCTTGAGCGCTGGCCACTCCTCTGTGATTGGCGCTCCTTAGGGCCTTGCTGTTCCGGCTCACTGCTGCTGTCCTCACTACTCTCGCCATCTCCATCCTCGTCCTCAGACTCGCTGTCTTGCTCTCTGTTAGGATCGGATTCTTCTTCATCAGTTGTCTGCTCGTCCTCTTCAGAATCGCTCCCTTCGCTTGACTGATCTTCCTCTTCATCATCTTCACTTCCTTCGCTTGACTGATCTTCCTCTTCATCATCTTCACTTCCTTCGCTTGACTGATCTTCCTCTTCATCATCTTCACTTCCTTCGCTTGACTGATCTTCCTCTTCATCATCTTCACTTCCTTCGCTTGACTGATCTTCCTCTTCATCATCTTCACTTCCTTCGCTTGACTGATCTTCATCAGTTTCTTCGCTCAAGTGATCGTCCTCTTCAGAATCGCTCCCTTCGCTTGACTGATCGTCCTCCTCATCATCACTTTCTTCGCTTGACTGCTCTTCCTCTCCATCACTTCCATCCGAACTGCTGTCTATGTCGGATTCCTTACTCTGGTCAGACTGGTCATCCGAGTGCTCTGACTGGGGTTCTTGTGGCATGTGCTTAGTGTTCTTTACATTTTGCTTTGTGCCTTTTAGCTTTTTTTTCGTGGTCATCTGAGTCAGTAAATAATTCAATAAATATGTGATAGAAAGTTAGGTAAATGCAGATAGTAATTTAGGCAATATTAAGAGCAAGGTCGTAAGTAAGGCTGGAGTTATATATTTGTAAGATATCCTTTATCCTGTGGCAGTATCTGAGCCATGGATTGAGATAACTTAGAGTTGTCATCCTTAATTTTCGTCATTATCACGTTTACAAAGTGTAGATTTTTGAGCACCACCCCCCTAAAAGGATACGTTGATGGATGAAAAATAGTCGATCATGATCTCCCTATATACAGATTCTTATTTTGTGATGCTAAGGAGATTGTATGAAAGCAAAATAAAACCATGTCTTGTAATATTGCTCTTTCACTGTATTAAAATGAAGAATCTGATGACAGGGCATATATATTTTCCCATAAAAATTGCTGAAACCATCCTGGTACTAATGTATAATGTGGCAGACCGAACGGTGGAAACTTCATCTGATGTCACTTCAGCTGGGTCTCCCAGCTGGGCATCATCAAAGGCAAAGCCACAGTCCCATAGAGTGATTTTAAACCTTCAGCCTTGCAACACTCACTATGAATTGTCGTATACATTTTAAATAAATCAAGTTTACAGGTTCAATGTCGCATTTCTTGAAGTATACATTTATACATTTTCTGTAAAGAGATGCGGGTGCATTTTATGTTGATGAAGGTTGTTACAGTATTGGTTTTATAATGTATTTATTGTACAGTGGAACCTCACTAATGAGACCACCATCTAGACTGAGCCTTTTGGTCTTATATTAAGGATCAGGGTTTGGGTCAGTCAGACCTCAAATTTTGCATATAATTTTATTGTGATCTTTTTTGTAAGAAAGTCTTTATCATTTCACAAAGTAGCAACATTTATATAAAACAAAATCAAAATGATAAAATTACTGGCATATCTTATTCACAAAAAGATATAAATTAGCATGAGAAATACAATGTGAGATCACTAATTTAAAGTCTTTAAACATGACATTAAAAAATATTTAGTCATGTCACTGACATTGACAAAATTAATTCAAATATATATACAGTATGGCTACAGTCACTGTGCCTTAAAAAAGTCTTTGATGGATGTTTGTTTCTGTAACACAGAAGGAGCAGCAACAGTCTCCTTCACCAAGAGGAAGGAAAAAGTTACGGTTGGTGTAGAATGTTTGTATCTTACGGATCATGGACAAGGCTTGGTAC